ATATATATACTTAGATAACATTATGACTTGTTGATTTTAATTTTCCAGGTACAAAAAATAGGCTTGGTATATAAGGCTTGGTTCAATTATGGACCTAATAGTTCGGTACATAATTTCGTTCGATTGATTAACAACAAACTACTCCTGCAATCAGCGTTGCCACACACAATTTATTTTTCTTACCAAAGTTCCGACAAAAAACTACCAAAACGTTCCAAAAACTACCAAATTTTTCCTTAGGGACAATTGCTTCTGTCTAGAGTTTCATTATTTTTAAAACTAATATGTAATATCATACAATGATTTGTTCCGAAGAATCAATGGTTTACTTTTACGTAATTAGACAAAATTTCCAAACACTTTGGTACTATATAGTTATGAAATACATAATTGCTGTTTTCGACAAAATTTGTACCAAAACCATTCCCGAGAAAATAGTAATAGTATTATATTCGGCTATGACGAATCATATATGTATATCCACCATCAGCATTTATCGTATAAATTGAGGCTGGAAAAATCCTTTTATTATACTACGGTTAACTAATTTGCTAAAAGGGGCTATGGCTGTAATAGGATCAATTGCGGACCAATCGACATGACATGGCTATATCGTCTTAGAATCTAATGAGAACCTGAAAAAAATATATACTTACAAACGGAATCACAAAATCAATATCCCCCTAATATTTTTATACCCATTAAAAAATTGGGGTATATTAATTTTGTGATTCAGTTTGTAAGGTAGTAGTCCCACCAAATTATATATTCATTCATGAATCTGGCTTCTTAGAAAAAAATGAATTAGTGTGGCCTCCAGTAGGTTAGTGGTTTATGTTATAGTCAGACCTGACGTTGTGCGTTCAATTCCCACCTGAGGCATTGGTTAGGAAGTTCACAACGGGACCGATGCAAGCCTAGAAGTATTCCTTCCGATTTTATGTAACATCCTCATTTCAAACTAACTAACTTACTAACATTCATGAATCAGAAATGTTGAAATACATAGAAACTTAATATTTTCTTAGAACAAACAATTTCTTAGAACAAACAACTTAAGATTGACGTATTTATTAAAATTCTTATTACTTTGCCATAACAAGGTCAAAAATGTTTATAAATTAATATGCATGACATCAAAATTATCTAATCCTACCAAATTTGGACCAAAATTTAAACCTACCGACCAAACTACCAAAAGTCACTTCAGAGATTTGAAACTACCAATTTTGGTCCAATTGGACCAACGCTGCCTGCAATACATTGTGATGAAGCTAGGTTCTGTCTACCGAATCAAAACAATTTTAATAAAAATTTGGCTTTATTCTTTTTTATCTTTTAAGATTTACATTACATGAGATCTTATACCATCCGACAAAAATTTATAATTGTCATAATTAGTCCGATATATAACAATGGAATTTTTTCCCAATTACAATACATAAATATTGCGAATTGTTGCTCATATCTCATGTTATGCTTAACCAAACATAGTTAATTTATGTAAATACCTGTCCAAAAAAAGGGCTGAATAAAAACTATAATAATACCATAATTCAAGTACGAGTACAACTTCATAGGATTTATGAAAACCTTAACCTCTTCTTAAAAAATCATAAATTTTCTTTGTATATGTTTTTCTTCTCATTCTTAATTGTATAGTCAGCCCAAAATTTTTTCCGAAGAAAAACTTTACATATTGTTGTAAAAACAAAATTTACATAAAACCAAAATTCTACAAATAGAGATCATAAAACTGCTATACACTGAATTTTACATCATAAATTTATTAAACTGCAACCACAGACCCAAGTAACAAGTTTAAAACAAACAAAAATCATTAGAAACTGATTAAAATCTGAAAAAAAATAACGAAAAGAAAAAAATGTTGCATCTTAAAGATTTATTTGTCCTTCTGTCAATGGTCAATAGAAAAACTATAAATTTCTGCAAATATTGTTGTTAGTTGCATGCAAATTTGTGGTAATAAACATTGAACATGATGATAATGTTTATGTTTATAATCAGTACGTGGGTGTATTGATAATGAGTTGAAGATTAACTTATCCAATTTTCGAATTCATTTCTTTAATAACTTGATAATTTGAATAACATTTTGACTATCCGAGCATTGGTTGTCTTCTCACTCTGGTGGAGGTTAATTTGGATGGCCACCACCTCGACGATCCAATAAACTGCCTTTTTGAGAGTCGAACTTAGGATTTTGAATCCTCCCCCACTCATAGTTTTCCCTTAAGATAGAGATGGCTTAGCATTATCAATATATTTGAATACGGGAACCTCTTTTACTTGGCTTGTTGTTCAGCGGTATCAAGCATGGCGCATCAGTAAACTGTATTTTTGGGTCTTTTGCTTCAGAAGTGGAGTGGGTATGCGATAAATCCTTTGGAGTGTCCTGGAAACGGCAGAAATGATCTGAATCTGGAGCATTTGCTTCAACTTTTTCATTCGTGCACCACCCATTTTCATGCTGACAGTCATCTATTCTGCCATTTGCTCTACTTCATTCTTGTTGGATGGGTTGGGTATGATTGACTTGTTATTATCATCAGGAGATTCAAAGCCGGAATGCAAATTGACTGAGGTGGCTTTCTAGTAAATTTTTCTCATTCAAATTCACATTTTTTGTACGATTGCGGGATGACGACGACACTACCTTCGACGACTCTACCTTCCCTGAGCTGAAACAATTAATGGAAGAAGACTGATTTCTCTCTCGGTAAGAGGTTCTTAAAACTCCCTGAAATTTTAATTTTTATGTAACCAAAAGGTTGTGGAAATAGAATAGGGCATACATGCATCCGAACATAAAAAGAAATTATGAATACATTAGGATTTTTACCATTATATACTGTATTCATGACCACACTGTTTCGTAATATGACACCTTGAATTGTATTAAGCAAAGGCAACTTGAATAGCTTGGAATTCATTATCAGATCGCTTGGATTCTCCACTTCGTTGACAAGAATAGCCATAGTTGATTAAGCCCTTGTTAGGGGGACTTTCTGTCGTCGCTTTTTAATAGTTCAGTCATTAGTCCACAACCTAATTTTGATGTTTATTATGTGTTGGTCTATTCCCTATTAGTCTATGAACTTACCATATATATAAATATTTATATATAAATATTTATTTATTTGTGGTCTTTCAATCGCTTGACTTCCGATAGCTGGGCGAATATAGATCAGAATCGAGATCGATACAGTTCTGTACATGAAAAACATATTTTTCCTGTCATTTTTTCCTCATCCTAGGTGTTCAATAGAAGAATAACAATATGTGTACGATATTGTTATGTATAGCTGCTCGGGGAAAAGAAGACATAACAAAACGTACCAGAGCCTGCTTCATGCAGCTTCGATTCTTTTCAGCCTTTACATGGGCAAACTTAAACATCACTACATTCCTATTAATGACTACATATTATAGTTGGCTTCCGACCTGATACGTATAAACAATAGGGCTCTTGTGGTAAGTCAGTATCTTTCTTCCGTTCATTGCTATGGACCTCGAAGTGAACTCGGAAAGGAATAGACTTTTAGTATGAATGAAATTGTTATACGTATTGTATTTGTCGTCTGAATTTATATTGTATTATATAGTAAAAATCTGACAGATCTGATGCTGCTATTGACTTTTAAATTCAAAGTAGACTTTATGTGAATCGTGGTCGCAGTAGATTAGGAAATCAAATATATATATGTATGTAACTACTTGTATATATGTATATGGGGAATTTCGTGTCAAGTGAGTCAACTTTAGAAATCGATGTCTTCCGATTTGGATATGGACCAAGGTTAGTATTATGTGATAGTAGGTCAGACACAAATTTTCAGCTTTATCGGTCAAGAACTGCCGGAGTCAAAGAGTGTCAAAGTTGGACATTTTGGTCATACATAATGTAACTTTTCACCTATTGGTCCTAGCAAAAATTGTTCAAAGGAGTTCAGATAGCTACTTCTTCATTCTTTTTTTAAATTAAAAAAAAATCAGCAATTCTTGACCTATCGAGCTGAAAATTTGTGTCTGACCTATTATCAAATAGTACTAACCTTAGTGCAAATTTCGTCAAAATCGATTTTTTGAGTTGAGACACTTGATATCAATTCCCAATATGTATACAAGTACTTACTGTATATTTGGCTACTTTTGTTCCCTGACTCAAGGATATGAATCTGGACTGATCGTCTAGCTATTTATTTCAAATACTTAATTCTGAACCAAATTCTATTAAATCGGAAAACCAAAATCCAAGTGATGTCAGATTAAACATGAATTTTCTGAAAAGCTCTTTTCTTTTTTAGACCTACCCCTAGTAGGTTCGTGTTGGAGACCTATATAAACTTAAAATTTAAAAAAATCGTTTCGGCTGTGTGTATTTGACTTAAATTTAATATGAAATAACAGAAACACTCTTTACGATCTCTTGAATACATATTTGAAATTTTGTCCTATTCGGAGCAGTTGTTATTGAATTTAAGTTTATTCGTGTAATTATAAATCCACCTTCCTATATTAACTTGAAAAATCAAAGCAGAGGAAAAATACAAAGTAAACAAAAATTCTAAACAGAAATGATGCTGAACTTGTGAAGCATCCGAACAGAACCGGAAGTATGCAAAACTTTATTGATTTTGTTCTAATACGAAATGATGTTTTGACAGATTACAACGCGCATGTGGCACTTTTAAACCGCTATATTTGTTTTTTTTCTTTATTTTCAACTTTTAATTTGTATTCGTTAGGTTGTGGCATTGTTAAGCAGTAAAAACACATACACACACACCCTGCACTCATGCAGGGTAACTATAGTTACTTATGCTTTGTGCCTAAATGCATAATTATGCAAAAATTCTTTTTCTGTTTTAGTTTTTTTTTTTTGCGTATTTGCCACAAATGCGTTTTTGCAAATAGATTCATTTCATATAAATACACGTTCTTTTTGTACTTCAACAATTAGTTTAACTGGAGGATTTAACGCGAAATTAACTCAAACGCTATTTATTATATATACGTCTATAAAGTCTAAAACGAAATCATCATAGAAAAGTTTTTAAGCCATCACGTCAGAGACAGGCTTCGCGTTAGTCGAGCGTGAAATAAGTACATGATTGTTGGCGAGTTTGTCAAATATTCACGTTACTAATTTAGTTTTTATTTCAAACGACAGCCGGCATTAACAATCGCACCAATAATAAGTGAAAAATACTATATACAATATAAGTATCAGTAGTTTGAAAGTAAACGGAAATTTTCTTTACGCAATTTATCAGTGAATTTATTTGAGAAGCGTTTAATTCAATTTGATTACATTGTAGTTATATATTATCCCACGCTAATCTAATGGATAAAATAAAATATCGGGTAAATTTTAAAGTGAATGTTTAAATTTTAATAATTAAAATTTAGTTATTTAATACATAAATATAAGAGGACTAAAAGGATGGTAGCTGATATTTAATATTCCTTAGAAGAAGTACTCTTTTTATAAATAACAATTCGATAAGTATCACGAAGATATTAAAAAACACAAAAGATTTTACAAAGAATTCATTGAAATTATTTTCAAAATTCCGTTTTGATTGGCATAAGAAAAACAAATTATCTAAAAGACCCTTATATGGGAGTAAGGGTTAAAAATAGGCCGATCTTCAAAAAAGTGGGAGGAGCAATGTATTTTTATAAAAAAAATAGTTATATTGAATTTCATCTTGGTTATAAGTAAATTTTGGACTTTGAAGATATTTTTTAAAGGTGTGTTTTTATGGAGGCTATGGTTAAATAAGGACCGATCATACCAAAATCGGCATGGCCATTTATATAAAACTTAGTTGTGCTTAGTTTTTTGAAGAAATAGTAGTATATTTAACTTAGTTATGAACTAAATATTCAAAATCAGAAGGCCTGGTTGAATGGGTGCTAGGTGAAATAATGTAGTTTGAAGTTGAAGTTTTATAAAAATATCTTGAAATTTTAGAATGCGCACTAAGTTTACATGGACAACAAGCCAGACGGAAGGACATGTTTTAATCGACTCAGAAAGAGATTCTGAGTCGATCAGTATACTTTAAGGTTTACATGGATAACAAAGCCAGACAGACGGTATGCTTTAATCGACTCGGAAAGTGATACTGAGTCGATCGGTATACTTTAAGGTGGGTGTATTTTTGTGTGTTTTAAACATGAGCACAAACGCATAATACTCTTCCCACTATAGTGGTGTATAGCACAAAGAGCTAGAGAGCTAGCTTTTTTAAATCTTTTATCGAATCTCATTTTCTCATCTCATTCGGGAATGATTTGATTACCCAAAATTTGTTGAAATCCTATTCACATCGTATTCATAAACGTCAAATAGCTTAGAAGAATTAGAAGAATTTTATTGTAAGCTCGACCCTACTTTAAGCCAACAACAAGTAAGAGTTCTATATTCAGTAGTGCCGAGTCTTACATACAAAAAGTACCAACTGAAGAAAAAAAGAGTACCAAAAAGTTAACTCTTATAAATTTCCATCCCATCAGGATTTCAGATATCATCTCAAAAATTTATCATTTTAATGACGAAAAAGTACCAGAATCAGTATGCTGTGTTTATACCCTACACCACTTCAGTAGGGAGGGTATATTGGGTTTGTGCTGATGTTTGTAACGCACAATAATATTGGTCCTATACCCACCCAGAATCATTTTCTGAGTCGATTTAGCTATGTCCGTCCGTCTGTCCGTCCGTCCATGTAAACCTTGAAATCAAACTACAGGTCGCATTTTGAAGGTAATTCAATGATCTTCTATTGTCACAGGGACGAAGGCTATTGAAAATGGTTAAGATCGTTCCATTATTTCACCTAGCCCCCATACAACTGAACCCCCCAATAGGGCTTGTAAACCTTGTAATCAAACTACAAGTCGCAATTTTGGAGATAATTCAATGAAATTTGGCACATGATCTTTTATAGTACCGTAGACGAAGCCTATTGAAAATGGTTAACATCGATCCATTATTTCACCTAGCCCCCATACAACTGAACCCCCGAATAGGGCTTTTAAACTTTGTAATCAAACTACAGGTCGCAATTTTGGAGATAATTCAATGAAATTTGGCACATGATACAACTGAATCCGCCGAATAGGGCTTTTAAGTTCATAATTATGTTTAATATACTCATATCTCGAAAAAAGCTGCAAAAACCAAGTTCTATACAAGATTTGATGACCCTCACGAATTCCATAATAATAGGTCCTCATATGACCCTAGCCCCTATGAAAAGCCCCCATCAAAATTTCACTTAAATGTCCACAATTTTATTCAACAATAAACGGCTTAAATATGTATGTATATCTGAGGCAAGGTACAATTCAATTTAAATGCTTTATTATGGCAAATAAATCACATTATATTTTTGTAACAGGTGTAGGGTATTATATGGTCGGCCTCGCCCGACTATAATTTCTTACTTGTTTTAATTTTGCGTTTATTAGGTTCATATTATAAAAGATTAAAACAGTACCAGTTTATGAACGAAAAGTATCAAAAAGTCCTTTTTATAGCTTCTCATTTACATCGGGATCTACATGCTCAACTTCGTGTTTCAATGCTCAATGTAATTCAAAAATTCCAAAAGTCCTTTTTTATAGGTTTCCATTTAATCACGGCTTTGCTCCATTTTGTTTTTATAAACAAGCAAACTAAGCACAAGAACAGCATTTACTATATGAATTTTTAAGGAGATTTCAGAGGTTGTCGCAAAATTTTGCTTATATCTCCGTTATTTACGGTCCAATTTTTGTAATTTTTATATAAAACTTCTAGAAAGCATGTCTGTGTTAAGTGTTGAAGATTAGTGTCCCAAAGGTACCTGGGGTCTTCAGAGAATTAATTTTAACAAACATACAGACGGACTGACACACATAAACCAATACAGACAGATGGACAAATAATATCCTATGACAATCTTCTTAGAAGGTGCCTTGAATAACTTAACTGATTTTGCAATTCAGGAAGCTCTCACTAAAAATATATCAGCAACTGGTAGTTACAATGCTGAAATCTAAAAGAGTTACGGCAAGGCTTGGTAACAGCGTTAAGTCCAAGTAAGTAGAATGTGGCCCACCACAGGGCATAAAATATCCCTTACTTCGGCTTAATGTTGTTAACACGATTTTTATTGCTCGGGACAATATGAGGATAAAAGTGGTTGCTTACGCCGACGATGTTGAGATGCTGGTACCAGGAATATTTCCAGGCATAAGTAGTTTTATTTTGTCTAATGAAATGGTGCTACTTAACAAATGGGGCACTAACAGCGGCCTTGGAGTAAATCTCAGCAAGACAGAACTGGTACTCTTCATAATAAAGACCAAAATTCTAAGCAGTAAAATAATTGCGAAATTCCCTTATTAAACAATGCTAAATAGTTACAAATTATCCTAGACTCTAAATTGTCATGGAAAGTCAATATTCCACACAGAGTCAGAAAATTAATAGTCGCCTACTACACCTGTCGTAAGATGTTCGGTAGAAAATGAGGACTTTCCCAATATAGTTAAATGGATGTACACAGCTATCGTTTGTCCTATGAATCTCTTGTATGCTGGAAAAAGAAATTTATTGCTGGACAACTACACGCAGTTCAGAGACCAGCATGCATTGGAATAACAGTTGCTCTAAGAACTAGTCCTTCACAAGCTCTTAACACAATATAGTACATTCTATCTATAGATCATGTGAGACTTAACTCATGTTGGATGTTGGAAATCAAGAACGTATGAACGTATTCTAAATCTACTGCCCCTAATCTGAAGCCTGCCGACTACTTTAATTCACACAAGGACTGTGTGCGTTTTCAAAGTCGGAGTTCCTTATAGGAATGAGTGGTGTACGGTAATCTACCGACCGAATATATTACCAGGATTTATACAGATGGTTCAAAACTTAACTGTGGTGTTGTTTGGGATAAGTTTGTCCTCGCATCTTTCCAACAGGCTGAAATATTTGCAATAATGTCAGCCTGTAGAACACTATATATTCTTAATATACGGCCAATATAGAATGTTTTTCGACATCCAAGCGGCACTTCTTTCATTAAACTGTCATTACCCTTATATGGATCCCTTCGCATAGGCACCACTGAGCTAGCCGGAAAATATCTGCTTTGGATGTCTTCAACGTCTTTTCAGTAGCAACTCTGTTGGGTTCTATCCAGAGTATTATCCTCAGGTTCTTTCTTCAAAAACCCGAAAATAGATAGATTCTGGTCACATATAGAGGGCAAAGTCTATGTCGCCTTATTAGCTTATCATCCGGAATAGACGGGATATACATACATATGTTTCTAGGCTACTGACAGTAATAATTCGACATTGGGTGCTAGGTAGATACGCAGGTCCATGATAAAAATAAAGAAGGTAGTGTCAATCAAAAATTTTAATTTTTAATAAGGTTTTTTGAAGTTTCCTTTTTTATTAAAACTGAATAAAGCGTTGCCATATTTTAAAAAATTATGCTAAGTTCCTAGGAATTTTTAGTGAAGAATTTGTAATTTATTATTAGATTTATTCTATTATTAATTTTTGCGACGTACTGATAACGAAAACACACTGATTTAAATAAGACATTTTTCAATTTATTTTTATTACAATAATGAGTTTATTATATTCATATATGGACTGTAGTTTTGACTATAGTCCAACCTATAGACTAGAATAAACCCTAAACTATAGACTTGACTATTGACTAAACTACGGCTATAATTTTCTGCTATAAACGTATAATGAAATCACACTTTTCTATATATGACTATCCATTTGTTCCAATTATTCAACTAGATGCCAATGTAGTTCTGGCAAAATTTGAGGTTCGTAACACTAAAAGCTTTCAGGTCCATCAAAGTTTGTCTTAAATATATATATTGATACAAAAGTAGACTATAGTTTCGTCTATAGTCTGGACTATAGTTTATTCTATAGGCTGGTCAAGTTTATAATTTGGACTATATTTTAGTCTAAGTCTGCACTATAGCATAGTCCGGACTAAAGTTTTGTCTGTAGTCTGGACAATAGTCTTGTCTGTATTCAGGAATATAGTCTGTACTAAAGGCTGAATTTTAGTCTATTCTGTGTTTTGAATAGTCTAGTTTGCGTGGAAATTCAATCCGTTAGTCGACCAGACAGAAGAAGGTAATGCTGGAAACATTTGCACTTTGACAAGTTTCGTTTTAACAATGTGGATATTGCATTGTTTTTTATATAAAGCAAACTCATCACCAGCTCTTTTAGCAAATCTTCTTGCAAGTTTTCAATATATTTTCCTGTTTAAATTGTTTAAATAATTAGTTTCTGTTTAATATTAAATATGTTATTAATCTTACCATTGAATTCAATTTAAATGCAAATATTTTGTTAAATTTATTCAATTTTGTTTAATTTTTATACAAACTTCAAAGAAAACTGGAGTTTTTCAAATTAATATGGTAAAACGATTTCTATGAAAACTTCATAATCCTTAAGCATGTCAGATGTAGAATTTAAAAAAATAAAGAGAGATTGACACTACCTTCTATTTTTCTATTATGCGCAGGTCTTTCATCCTCTCTGCGAATGCCTTGATCTAACTGCCGAGAAAAAGAGATTCTTTGACAACTACTTTATATCCAACCTTGGTGAGCTATCAGGGCCAAAACTTAATGACCTCCTGAAATTTCTCACTGCTAGAGGCTAGATCTAATACTACAAAATACTACATCTGCCGAGTGAAGTAATCCTGTCTAAATTAGTTTTGCCCGACATTAAATGCTTTATTCATAATCAAATATTTATTTTATAAAAAATTTCTAAAACATAATTTGTATGAAAATTTTACTGATATTTTGGCAGTGACAAACAAATTAATATGGCTTAATTTTATTCGAACTTTAGTTTCTTAAAAATACCTTATTGGAAATTAAAAACTTCATAGTTGAACACATTGTCATACATGTTTCAATTACATATAAGGTCAAAAATTCAGAAGTTTTATTGTAAACAAGAAAACAATTTTATATATTTTTGAACAAAAAAAATGTTTTTTCAATTGTTGTTTTTTTTTCTTTAGCTCATAGCCGGCTTTTTGTTGACATTCACACTGTTGCTGAAAACATGTCACTGTCAACAAAACACACTCTTCAATCAATCACCATTCCAACGACAATCGCCGTTTCAACGTCAACAACTGCGCCAACGTCAGCAATTACAACAGCAACAACCGCAACAACTCTTTCCCAATACACTAAACACACTAAATCCACTCAATACACTTCAACCCATTTCACCGATATTACCACAAGTAAGTGGAGATTATATTTTTTCGTAACATTATTTTATTTTTTATTATTTTATAGAACATTTACAATCGTAATTATAATCAACTGAATCCTCAAAATTTTGTACCAATTACGGCATATCAGAATGAATTGAACTATGATGGCAGTTTCTCTTATGGCTATTCTGCTGGTGATGGTACAACGGCACAGGCCCAGGGTTATGTTAAGAATTTGGGCTTAGGGGAAGCAGTTGAGGCGCAAGTTGTTCAAGGTTCATATTCCTATACATCACCGGAAGGTACACCTATAACGGTACGCTATATAGCTGATGAAAATGGTGAGTTACGATTATCGGTTATCAAGCAGTACAGAGAAAAAGGTTTAGATTGACTACAGCCAAAATACATACATAGACAATAATTTGTTAAATTTGTTTTTAAAACATAAATTAACATTCTACATTATAGGTTTTCGTGCCGAAGGAGCTCACATACCAACACCACCACCCATCCCGGATGCTATTGCCAAATCCCTTCAGTACACCGCCAGTTTACAGAATCCTTATCAACAGGACTATAGTCCAAATATAAATCCCTATCAAACACCCTTTCGACAGTATCCCAATAACTTAAGACCAGGCCAAGGGCAGCTTACGCCACTTCAACTACAGCAACAACAACGTTTCCTACAGCAACAACAGAATTCTGGTCAATATACACCCGATAATCAATTCGGGTTCTCTCCACAGTCCTCCCTGACAGGGAGTACACCATTTGGACAGGGAAGCCCAAATCAATTCGGCAATAATTTGCAATCGCAAGGAAATTTCCTGCCACAACAGCAAAATCTCACACAACAACAGCAACAAAATCGTCAGCATCAATTGAATAATCAGCAGCATCAACAAAATGATCAGCAGCAACAACAGCAATTGGCCACACAGGAGCTTCGGGCACGACCCAATCAATTGGTAAATACCTTTGGCTACAATCCCTATCGTCGATATAAGAAATCAGCGGCAAAATCTTTGATTCCGGAGGAGCATTAATACCATACGTTGGATAACCTGTCACCCTACTGTTCATATTTTTCTCTATAAGATTCATAAAAATAAGAAGAATGTTTTAACCAACAACTTCTTGCAAAAAAAATATAAATATTTTAATTTTACAATATTTGTTTTATAAAATATAAGAAATTAAATTGAATGCATGAAATACATGTACTGAAAATCCCAAGTAAAATGTTGCATATCTTAAGGCGTTGGTATAAAAGTTTATTAAACTTAAATACAGAGTAACTTGGAAAAAAGACACAGAATACTATATAGAATCAGAAATCGACAATTTTCGTTCAAATACTATTTTGTAATTAAACGATTAAGTTTGTAAGGGTCACGAGAAATTAAGCGAGTAGAGTCAGAAGGAACTAAGCTATTGTTTTCCTCTTTAATTCAGTCAATAATGATAATATTTTGGTCCCAAAATAGGTAAAGAGTTCCAAGAAATTTAAATAACGCATTCTTTTGACATTCTTAAGGGCCCTTCAGACGATCACACTTTACGTACGTAAAGTCTAATGAAAAAGTAAAATGAAATTCCATCCGTATGACAAAAAAGAGAATAAATGTCGTATGATTTATATATTTTGTGTTTACACGATTGGTATAAAACAATAAAAAAGTAAGATGGTAACAGCTGTTTCACTTTTTTTGTATGTGTTTACATAAAAATACATCCCTGATCTAATGCGACTTGCTTGTTTTTTGAATCATTTCAAAAAATGAAAAGAGCCATACGACTGTCAAATTTTCCATCCGTATTTTCTCTCAATGTGTGATGGTTTCGTTACATATTGCGTTTAGACGATCCCATCCGTTCTCTTCTACACAAAATTTTGACAGATCATATTACTTGTGTGCTCGTGTGAAGTGGGCTTTAGTAATAATAGAGACTTATATCTCAACACTTTTGCGTAGTGGGACTTGCCTGTATCGACTGCCCTGCAAACGTTTTACAAAAGCTACAATGCTATGTTCGGTTATGCCGAATCTTAAACACCCTTCACCTATAAACTAGCCAATCCTTAATTATCTTATATACTGCTAGTTATACCCAGTGTTCTTCGCTACCCTAATCGTAATGGAATACAAAATATCATAATTGTAAATGTATATATATATCTGCAATATCAAAAAATCCCTTTTTAGAGAACTCTATAAGTTTGATTTTATGATTCTAGTCTCAATATTACAGAAAATTAAAAAAACAATTGAAGAATGATTAAGTAGCAGAGAGTGCCTTTTTATAGATTTTCATTAAATCAAAATACCTCGCATACAGATTTTTATACAATCCGGAAGCTGCGTGTCCAATTTTAGATTCAATATTATAGAAAATTCGAAAAGTATTAGTAAAATAACAAAAAAGTACCTGTAAGTATCCTTTTTAAATTTTCATTCAATTAGGATACTGCGTGTTTAAATTTATGTTTATTTATTCAATATTTTAGAAAAACCAGAAAGTACCAGTAGAAGTATGAAAAAGTACCGAAAGACCTATTTTATTTAATTTCATGCTACGAAGTTCAATATTATAGAAAATTCATAAAGTACCAGTTAAAGAACAAAAAAGTACCAGAAAATACTCCAGTTTGAATTTTCCTTCACTCAAGTCCCTGATTGCTTAGTTTTATATTTCTAGCTTCATTATAATAGAAAACTCAAAAAGTACCATTTGAAGAACGAAAAATTACCAAAGGGCTCCCTTTTTTAGATTCTCATTAACTCCGGGCTCCACATGCTTAATTTCATGTTTCAATATTATAAAAAAACACAAAATAGAAAATTCGAAAAGTATTAGTAAAATAACAAAAAAGTACCTGAAAGTATCCTTTTTAAATTTTCATTCAATTAGGATACTGCGTGTTTAAATTATGTTTAAAAGTACCTTTTGAAGAACGATAAAGTACCAAAAAGTAATCTTTTATATGTTCTCACATACTCCGAGCTCTTCGTGCTTAATTTCATGTTTCTAGGTTCAATATTATAGACAATTCAAAAAGTTTCTTTTGAAGAACGAAAAAATACCAAAAAGTCCTCTTTTACAGGTTCTCACTTAATCCGGGCTTAACATGCTTAATTTTATGTTTCTAGGTTCAATATTATAGACAATTCAAAAAGTACCTTTTGAAGAACGAAAAAGTACCAAAAAGTCCCCTTTTATAGGGCTCTACATGCTTAATTTCATGTTTCTAGGTTTAATTTTAAAGAAAACTTAAAAAAGTACCTGTGTAGAACGTGAAAGTACCGAAAAGTCTCTTTATTATTAATTTTATGTTTCGATTTCGATATCATAGAAAACTCAAAAGGTACCAGTTGGAGATTGAAAAAGTACCAAAAAATATCCCTTGGTACCGGGGTTCCAAATAACACCCCATAGCATATTTAGTGTTTCTAAATCTAAAAATTTTAAACATTCGAATTTCCAAAAATTCCGTCTAAGTGGATTTATTTGGTGGGAGACCAACCTCCTATCCAAATTTCAGCTCTTTAGCTTCAACCGTTTAGGCTGTGCGATGATGAATCAGTCAGTCAGTAACGTTAGAATTTTATATATATAGATTAGAGATAAACAATTAATTGGTACCTTTTTTTGCCCATTATAACTTTTAGGGAGTTGACTGAAGAAAACCGTATTTTGGTACTTTTGTTTGGCATTGCATATAGACCAAGGAAATTAGACGAAAAATTACCAAACTTGGGAATTTTAGAAAGCTTAAAGATGACACAAGGTCTCAAGTAAGGGGATAAAGGTCACCATTAATCACATGTACGCTAAAGGTTGCAAAAATTAGTTTTATACAAATATCTCGCGACGATTTCTGTAACTTCAGTTGACGTTTAAATATCTTACATTTCAGTTGAACTGAATTTATATGGGTGGTAGAGCCAATTATGGACCGATCCTTATAAACTGAGGAGCATTTCTATATGAGAGAATGGTCAGTTATGTACCGATCCTCATAAAATTTCACATTGAGCCGATTCTCATAAAGAAATTGTTTATGTCAAATTTCATCGCTATACATTTTCTGAAGAGGGCCTTATGTGGGGGCTAGGTGAAATCGTGGACCAACATTACCCAATTTTAGTACCAAACAATCTAGAACAACTAAAAATATTGTTTCGTTTGGTATCTATCCTGTTTTAAATCTATATGAGGGTAGGGTCAATTATGGACCGATTCTCATAAAATTCGGTAGATAGATTTATGCTCGTAAGAAACTTACTTTTGTCGAATTTGAGCGCTAGATTCGTATTTTTAAGCCAGTAAGAGGCGTTAAAGTAATTTTTTGGAGGGGACCATATATGAGGGGTAGGGTCAATTATAGACCGATCTTCATAAAATTTGGTAGAGAGAATTTAGCTCATATAAAACTTATTTATGTCAAATTTCATCGCTATACTCTCATCTTTAAAACAGTTATGACTGTTAAAGCTGTTTTCGGGGGACCACTTGTATGGGGACTATGCGAAAACATGGAACGATATTGCCCATTCTATCAAACAAACCTTACCTATAAGAAATATTTGTGGGAAATTTTAACTCGCTAGCTCTTTCCGTTCAGATAGAGTGCTTTCAGCAGACAGACAGACGGACGGACAGACATTGCTAGATCGTCTTAGAATTTAATAAGGACCCAGAATATATATCGAGGAACTGTATTCAATAGTCTATATTTGTTATTTTCATCAAAAGCTATGATCAATATTTCGATATGTTACAAACGGATTGACGAAATCAATACATCCTCTTTCTTTTTTGATGGTGCGTATAAAAAGTACCTTTTGTAAAACGAAAAAGTACCAAAAAGTCCCCTATTATGAGTTCTTACGTTATCCTGGCTCTAACACCAAGAAATATTCCTCTAGGACCCTCAAGATGAAAACATAAGAAATCAACCAAATCCACGAAAAATATTTATAATTGTCTTAGGCAGATTGAAAACCAGAAAAATCAGTTCACAAAAAAAATCAGACTACCGAAAAAAGGACGTCTTTTTCCCGAAATAATGCGACGAAGTTTGTTATATGTTATAATTATCGCCCAGGGATCAATTATGTTTATAAACATAACAACCTTATAATCCCCATTCAAACGTACACATTCTCGGAAATGGATTTAGTGATAATAACTCTCCCCAAAAAATCGGTATCGCCACAAAATTGTACAGATAGATATCATATTTCTGACACAGATCTGTATCCGTCCCCCATATAAGATCTACTTCCGAAAATCACTTAAATGTAATAATAAATATAGATATTGGAATAAACATCGACATAAATATGTTTTGTGTGTGTATCATGTATATGTATATAATTCTCCAAAATATTTTTCGAATTGATCCATTATTGGTCATAGTTCCCATATAAGATCCTCTTCTGATAACCACATAAACGGCCATATTTTATTACTAAATATCATGATAAAGTTCACCATAAGTGTATTTAAAGTATATATAAACCACCCCTCGAAATTCTCTTAGTATCGGTCCGTAATTGGTCATAATTCCCATATAAATTCCACTTCCAAGAATATATCATTGACAAAAACTATACCGGTATAAAATTCGAGATATGTATTTTTTGTGTATATGTAAATCATTCTGCGATTTTTTATAATCGGTTTAATTTTGGTTATAGCTTTATATAGGGTTCATTTCTTAAGTGACTTAAATACTCCTATCTAATTAGGAAATATAGATATCGAAACAAAATTTATATAAATCACACTGTCAAAGTTTTTCCTAATCGATACGTATTTGGTTTAGGTGCTATATAAGGTCCACTTCTAAAAATCAAGTAAACGGAAATATTTTATTACTTAATACAGAAATCGGGACTCATTAGTGTGTCTTTTGTATCGATAAATCATTTTGTGAAATTTTGTTGAGATTGGCGATTTATTGGGCCCATATAAGGTCATTGTTCAACAGCAACTTTTTTTCTCTTATTCGTACCCGAATGTACCAAATGAGTCATATTACATTTGAGAGGGAAAGTATTAAAATGGGGAAATAAAGCTTTATTCTATCTTATTAAACCAATTGGTGTGTTATTAGGAATTCAGTTACTAAGGACCACATTCGGGTAAACAGTTTGGTACTTTTTGAAAAATAATTGTTGTTTAGTATAGTTTTATCTGTGATATACACATATGTTTAAATGTATTTTGAAAACTTAATCCTCTGGTGAAAATGGGAAATGGTACTCTTTTATTAGTACTTTCCACAAAGGATAAATTATTTCACTTTTTCATCGTTCTAATAGTATTTGTTGAATTTTAATAATATGTATTAATAGTAGAAAAAAGTATATTTAAACTACTTTTTGAAACTTTTAAGAAACGTCAAATAAATTAAAATTTTCTTTAAAAGTAATCTAAATTTTGTATCAATATTTTGACTAGAGTAGCGAATAACTCCACAAATATCCGGTGTCTTAAGAAAATTGATTTCAGACAGACGTATATAGCTTACTCAACTCCGATATCTATAATTATCCAGAATATTACATTGTAAAAATTTAAAACGGAATGAACGGTATAAATATTAGGTTTTTGGTAATTCTGAAAAACATAGGGTCACGTTCGATATTATATATACATACATATGTACGTAAGTCATTATTAGATTACTTAAAAGTAATGCAGATGATATGTAGTAGTCAATAGCAAATAAGTTCTTGTATAAGTACAAGTCAGTACCAAGTCTTTGCTGGGATAAAACTATTACGACCATATGGAGTCACAGTAAGTAGTAATGGTAGATATGGTAGTTCACCTGAGTTGTTATCGTATTCTCGAGAATATAAGTATCCTTTTCCTCCACACTTTCTTACAAGAACAGCCGATATTCCATACAATAATATTGGCTCTGAGGTTCCTTGTCCCTAGACGACCCATCCAATTCATTGAAAGATGTCAAGACCGTCTATAGACGGTGTTAGTGGTTTTAATCGGTATTTAACTAAAATGTTCAAAATTACAAAAATAATTAGTTATTTTTATTAAATTATTTTCTTTTTTAATTAATTCCCGTTTTGTTTTTACAAGTACAAACTTAATTATATTTACAAAGAATTTGGCAAATGCTGTTTCAATTTCAATATTTCAAATTTTTTTTTTTTTTTTTTTAATTTTGTGGGTCACTAGCCATATTCAAATATTTATTTTTAATTACCATTAAATAAAAAATTAATAAAGAAAAGTTAAATAACAATCACTTATTATACTAAGAGCCATTTTGTTTACAGCGAGACGTTTTTTAAAGTTTCTAAAAATGTGTAACTTAAAAATAGATCCTGTCAGATGTTGATATAATATTAGGTGAAGGGATTTTTTTGAAATTAGTTCCATGTTAAGGTAAGAGAGGAAACACTTAAATGCTACGAGTATTTGTGGCAGATATCGTTGCATGTAAATTTTGCTTATCAAATTTGATTTAGTAATTGTAGCCAGTTTGAGGATTGAAGTCGCCGCTTGCATGACCGCGACCAGGTTGACCAGGTGGTGGAGGAACATAAGATGTACCAGGACCGCCGGCACCGCCGCCAAATCCTCCAGCACCTCCTCGTCCACCCGCACCACCTGCTCCCGTTCCACCACCGAAACCACCTGCACCTCCTTTACCACCTCCTCCAGCACCACCACCGAAACCACCTGCGCCTCCGGCACCACCACCGTATCCACCAGCGCCACCGGCACCACCTCCTCTACCTCCTGCACCTGAACCACCACCAAATCCACCGGCGCCACCTTTGCCTGCACCACCTCCGGCTCCAGCTCCTCCTCCGAAGCCACCAGCACCTCCTCCGAAGCTACCAGCACCTCCGGCACCAGAACCGCCAGCAAATCCACCGGCACCTCCTTTGCCAGCTCCGCCACCGAAGCCTCCACCTCCGCCGGTGCCAGTTCCACCTCCATAACCACCAGCGCCTCCTGCACCACCTCCTCTACCTCCAGCACCACCCGCACCACCCGCACCAGAACCACCACCAAATCCACCGGCTCCACCTTTGCCTGCTCCACCACCAAAGCCTCCACCACCGCCGGCGCCAGCTCCACCACCATAACCACCAGCGCCTCCGGCACCACCTTTGCCTGCACCACCACCAGCGCCAGATCCACCACCAAAACCTCCGGCACCGCCGGCGCCAGCTCCACCACCATAACCACCAGCGCCTCCTGCTCCACCTCCTCTACCTCCGGCACCACCCGCACCAGAACCACCAAATCCACCGGCACCACCTTTGCCTGCACCACCGCCAGCTCCACCACCAAAGCCTCCACCACCGCCGGCGCCAGCACCCCCACCAAAACCACCGGTACCACCTTTTCCAGCACCACCACCAAATCCTCCAGCACCACCAGCGCCAGCACCGCCACCGTAGCCCCCAGCACCTCCGGCACCGCCACCTCTACCTCCCGCACCTCCTGCACCAGAACCACCACCAAATCCACCGGCTCCACCTTTGCCACCACCACCACCAAAACCTCCAGCACCACCAGCGCCAGTTCCACCACCGTAGCCACCAGCGCCTCCGGCACCACCACCTCTACCACCAGCTCCACCAGCGCCACCAGCGCCAGAACCACCTCCATATCCACCTGCGCCTCCGGCACCACCACCTTTACCTCCAGCACCAGCTCCGCCACCAAATCCACCAGCACCTCCTTTACCAGCCCCACCACCAAAGCCACCACCACCGCCGGCACCAGCTCCACCACCATAACCACCAGCGCCTCCAGCACCACCTCCTCTACCTCCTGCACCGCCGGCGCCGGCTCCACCACCAAATCCACCAGCTCCACCTTTGCTTGCACCACCACCTGCACCGCCACCGTAGCCACCAGCGCCTCCGGCACCACCTCCACCACCAAATCCACCGGCTCCACCTTTGCCTGCACCACCACCAGCACCGCCACCGTAGCCACCAGCGCCTCCGCCACCACCTCCTCTACCTCCTGCACCGCCGGCGCCAGCTCCACCACCAAATCCACCGGCGCCACCTTTGCCAGAACCACCACCAGCTCCTCCACCACCACCGTAGCCACCAGCGCCTCCGGCACCAGAACCACCACCAAATCCACCGGCTCCACCTTTGCCAGCACCACCACCAGCGCCAGCTCCGCCTCCGCCACCACCACCGTAGCCACCAGCGCCTCCGGCACCAGAACCCCCACCGAATCCACCTTTGCCAGCACCACCACCAAAACCTCCAGCACCACCGGCGCCAGCTCCACCACCGTAGCCACCAGCGCCTCCGGCACCTCCTGCACCAGAACCACCACCAAATCCACCGGCTCCACCAGCACCTCCAGCTCTTCCTCCTGCGCCTCCTGCACCAGAGCCACCACCAAATCCACCAGCTCCTCCTTTACCACCACCGGCACCAGCACCGCCGCCATATCCACCAGCACCGCCAGCGCCTGCACCACCGCCAGTTCCTGCACCTCCTCCTCTACCACCGGCACCACCATAACCACCACCGGCACCTCCACCAGTGCCAGTACCACCACCACCACCAAATCCACCAGCACCTCCGGCACCACCTCCTCTACCACCGCCACCACCAGCGCCAGTTCCACCTCCAAAGCCACCACCAGCACCAGTACCGCCACCATAACCACCGGCCCCAGTACCACCTCCAGCTCCACCAAAACCTTAAAATATTTATTGCGTAAGTAATTTTACAATTTCAAAATGTTGTAATAAACTTACTACCAGAACCACCGCCTCCACCACGGCCAGTACCACCTCCAAAACCGCCACCACCACCAGCACCACTGCCTCCACCTGCTCCCGTACCGGGTCCACCTATGAAGCCACCACCTGGTGCAGGTTGAATACCTTGTGCAGCCAGAGCTTTTGCAATTGCTTCGGGAATTGGCGGTGGTGTTGGTAATAAATCACCAGAAGGTTGGAAACCATTTTCATCAGCCGTATAAGCCACTTCAACTACTTGTCCATCTGGTGCAGTATATGAAAATGTACCCATAACGGATGGAATTTCGTTGTCCGAACCTTTGTTTTTAACTGTACCCTCTTCCTGGGCCTTAATGCCATTACCAGTTTCATAACTAAATCTATAATTTCCATCACCATCATTTTCATTTACAAATGACAATATAGGTATAACGGGACCAGCAGGTGCAGAAGGCCCAGAAGGAGCACCTGGTCTGGGACCAGCGCCACCACCCTGAGGACCAAAAGGACGACCTTGACCACCAGCGCCAGTAAAACCACCCAAACCATTATTACCGCCACCAGTGGGACCACCGCCACCTCCACCAAAACCTCCTCCTGTACCACCCCCACCTCCTCCACCACCACCAAAGCCACCAGGTCCACCTGGTCCTCCAGGTCTACCACCACCACCTCCTGGTCCCTGTAAGCCAGGACCTCCACCAGCCGTAGCAGCATTTGGCGGCGGTGGTAAATATTTATTATCTAGGCGGGCAGCATGTGTTAATGTCAGCAACGTCACCAGTAATGGCTGCAAGAATACAACAAAATATAACACAAAGAATTACTATTTTTCCTATTTGAATATTGGACTTAAACTGTAAAAAAAAACTGTTGACAACAAGCACAACAGCAAAACAAAACATGTCTATAAATATTTCGGCAAATCTTCATATTTTATTCATTTGCAACGTGATACACGTTTTTCATGCCGCCGGCAATTTTTCGACACTGTTAACATCCATCGCTCATCTTCATGTGGCATAAACCACACACAAACATTCAATGGATTATTTGTATGTTTTTATTTTTTTGCATGCAAATTAAAATACATAATGGTATTAGATAAAGATCTATTCAGGGGAAGAAAGCAGTTCTGTCTTTAATAAAAAATGTTTAAACAAATTGTTTAAATGTCAGTCGATGAAGACAGAATGGCTGGCAACAAATGCAGCAAAAAAATTTTAAGTCCTTTGGAGATGTTATTTCAATTAAAGATACGAAAATATTTTGACAATTTTCAGCTTTAGAACCCATTCGTATTATGCATAAGGTTAAGTTGATTTTAATTATTTAATTTTGGTAATTAAATACTAAATTTCTCATTATACTTAGTTGAAGTTTGTATACCCTACTCTTTACCTACTCGACCTAATATTTCTAAAACAATAGCTTTTTGCTAATTTCTAAAGACGTCAATAAAGTGTTTGATATAAATCGGTATAACCTACTACATACACCTATGAATGAACTTGTTCAGTGTCAGTATCCGCTTTAGTAAAATTGAGGACACAATCTCCGACAAAAATATGTCTGTATTTATATTTACCCTACACCACCATAGTATGGAGGGTATTATGCGTTTTTGCTGATGTTTGTAACAGCCAAAAATATTGGACATACTACCATCTTAAAGTAAAACCAATAGTTTCAGAATTACTTTCGATTATGTCAGTCTGTAAGTCTGTCTGTCTGTCTGGTTGTCTGTCTGTTTGTCTGTCTGTCTGTTTGTCTTTTTGTCTGTCTGTCTGTCTGTCTGTCTGTCTGTCTGTCTATTTGTCTGTCTGTCTGTCTACACCACCATAGTAGGGAGGGTATTATGCGTTTTTGCTGAAATATTGGACACATAACCATCTTAAAGTAAAACCAATAGTCTCAGAATCACTTTCTATTAAGCAATGTCCGTCCGTAAGTCTGTCTGTCTGTCCGTCTGTGTTCATGCAAACCTTAAGCGCACGCTGCAGGTCACAATGTTCAGTATATTTAATTTGATGAAATTTGGCATATACTTTTATTTTGGCTCAAGGACGATGCCTATTAAAAAGGATCCCTATACAATCGTATTCCCGTGCTCTTGAGCTCATAATGAAAGACTAGTTTTCGATTAAGCTACATATGTCTGTCTGTCTGTGCTCCTTATTATGTTAAATGTTCTAGTATCTCTACAAAACTTGTCCCAACTTGGTTTTATATAAGTTATTCCCTCTATCAACGTTTCTAAGGATAGGCCTTTTCAACCCTTTCCCTCATCCTTCAGAAAATCACATGTTTTTGTCATAAAATTGTTAAAATATTTCGAAATTAATACAAAAAATTCTAGTGTTTAATTATTAAAAGTATTTTTTTAACATACTAGTCATTGATGTAGGAGATCATGTGATGACCTAGCCCATTTATATATTTTTTAATACTTTCTATTGAAAGAATTCCTCTACCATTTTTATTTTCCCAAGCTGAGAAAAACTTACATTCTTTACAAGTTTGTATGTCACCTTAAATAAAAATAATCAAAATAAATATTCATAATTCAAATTGTTCAAACATTTTTTGGTTGAAATTTTAAATATAATTCCGGTTGGATTTAATTAATAAAACAACAACAATTAAATAAATGCCAATAATAATAATTACTAAAAATCTTATTAATTTACTCAGCTCCCATCATAACCAAAAAAAAATATATGTATAAATTATAAAAAAAATTAAAGTAACATCATCATCATCATTATTATTATTTTATTTTCATTACTACAATGTTGTTGTTTTAAGTTCATGCCCAAAAGTTCGAAGTAAAACAATAAAAATGCATTCAACTAGATAAATTCTGGGCATAAAAAGTGAAGGGAATTTCCGACACATCAAATACCAGCAAATGAAATGCACGTTTTTTTTTAAGACTGGGTCATTACATACATGGAGCAGCACAAACAACCAGCACTACTGAATCATCATCTTTGGCGGCACTATACTCGTTGCAGTATTTTATCAGAATGACACTAGAAAATAATCTTTACCAGGTACTAAATGAGAAGTTTATATTAGTAGAGACTTGCAGAAAATAAACATTTTGTAATTTAAAATACATCTTCAAAAGGTGAGGCCAAGTTGAGAATTCTTTAGAGCAATTGAAAATGAAGAGTAAGGTGAGGTAAGTACTTTTGTGATACTTAATTTAAAAACGAAGTTGTAAGCAATTAAAATTGGTTAGTATATTCAGCTTAAGCGAATCTGTTATACTCTATATAGAGATTTATTAAGTTTGAAGTGCTAAACATTTGTTATCGCAGCATGTAGACCATATTATTGTTGAAATACTTTTAGGTACTTTTTCATTCTTTATCTCAATAGTACTTTTTGAATTTAAGAAACGTGCAATAAGTGATAGTTCTATATGGATGTGCATACATGGAATAGGATGCTATAGTATTCTTTTGAAGCAGTTGGATGACCGATAATTGTTTTTTCTGTAATTATTTTGGTTTGTAACTGTTTGTAAGGGGCTTTTAACTTTTATTGAATCTGGTTATGTTGGGTGTCAGCCAATGGATATCCCAATTTATTAATAGACTTTTGACTAATCGAATCATAATTTCTACTATGGGAAATGCCACTGTTTACAGAATGGCAAAAAGGGGCACTCCACAAGGAGGAGTCTTATCATCTCTCCTTTGAAATATTTAGTTAGTTAGTTTGAAAGGAGGATGTATATACATCAAATCCGAAGAAATACACCTAGGCCTCTATCGGGCCTGTTGTGCGCTCCTTAACCAGTGGCTCAGGTGGGAATCGAACCCACCACCTACGGTCTACCAGACTAGAACACTAACCACTAACCTACCGGAGGCCTTTGGAATATTGCTATCAACTCATTACTGCTGGAACTTGATTCCATGACGTGTAAGACTATTGCATTTGCGGACGATGTGGCGGTTGCTGTCTCTGGCAAACATTTAGCCACTATCCCGCAATGCCTGCAACAATCACTGAAACGACTGAGCCGTTGGAGCTTCAACAGTGGTCTCAGTGTCAATTCTGAGAAGAACGAACTGGTTCTATTCTCGAAAAGATACAAGATTCCATCCCTCCCAGTTCCTCGCCTGAATGGAGTCGAACTTACTCTCTCTGCTAGTGCAAAATACTTAGGTCTCTTGATTCTAAATTTCTATGGAATCTGAATATTACAGCGAGGACCTCTAAGACATCTATCGCAATGTATTCATGTAGGAAAGCCATTGGTAGAAACTGGGGCATCAGTCCCAAGAATGCGAAATGGATCTTTGACATGGTTATAAGGCCTATTCTGATATATGCTGCAATTGTCTGGTGGAAAGCTTTGGAAAAATCCACCTATAGCAATCATATTGAAGGAATAATGCATGCCTCTGCACTAATGTTTACTACTGCGATCCTTAGCACACCATTACAAGCGTTGTGTACCTTTATGCACTTGCTGCCCGACGATCTGATGGCCAAGCAACTGGGCTTAAACTCGGCGGTCAGACTACATGCTGCTGGGGTGTGGAAGTCCAATCGAAACGGTCATACCTGCATCCTGGGGAACACGACCTACATAAATCCCAAAGAATATCGATTACTGCCCCAATGCTCCTTCCAGACAAAATATTCACAGTCAAGATGTGAAACGAAACAACCTTCTCAGAGGGTGTAACACTTGATATCTATACTGATGGATCCAAGTCATCCACAGGTGTGTGTAGCGGTTTCTTTATTCCTTGCTGGCCTTAAACGGTCAGACTACATGCTTCTGGGGTATGGAAGTCTAACCGAAACTGTCATGCTTCCATCCTGGGCAATATCGATTACTGCCCTCTCCCCTACGCTCCTTCCGGACAAAATATTCACAGTCAAGATGTCAAACGAGTCAAGATGTCTCAGAGGGTTCGCGAAAGTCGGATGTCCCTTGAAGAGATGGCGAACCACTCGTGCCTAGAACTGCTCTGGGTACCGGGTCATTCTAATGTACTTGGAAATAAAAAAGCGAACTAACTAGCAAAAACTGACACATTAATTGGTGTCCCACTTTCATGCTGTAAATCCCTCATAAAGCATAAAATTTACCGGTCTGCTCAGACCAGATGGTAATCACTGACCTACTACTCAACATCAAGAATGACCTGGCCTCTCTATGATGAGCGAAGGTCTAAATGTTTGATGGGTCAGCAATTAGAGCAAATAGCGTTGTAGCATATCATTACGACAGTGGATGCTTTGGCACAGTACAATCCTAATACTGAGGACATACTATGGATTAGCAATTTGGTCTTGTAAACTCACACAACTTGTTTGGTTCTCCCTACCAAAGTATCATTTACGATAATGAGCTCATATGTGATAATTTTAATCGTGCAGAAGAGTCATAAGTGGCTATGGGATTTGTGCTGATGTTTGTAACGCACAAAACAATGGTTCTTTACCCACTTTAAGGTATGCCAATTGGCTAAGAATTATTTTCCGTTTTTAGGTGACGATATAACTGGTCCGACTATACTGTCTCTAAAATATTATTCAAATTTATAGATTTGATTTTGAATAGGAAATAGTGTAAAATGTCTGACCAAGAATACTGACATATTTAATAGCGGTGCGATAAAAAAAAATAATGAAATATTTCAGAGGTCATTACAAAAGTAAAAATAACATAAAACTTTAAATGTTACATGATTGAATGTTTTATTCTTTGTACTAACTGCAGAAAACACACATTGATTTCTTGAAGAAGATCAACAACAA